TAGCCATCGTAATGATGCTGCTGGTGGTGAGAGAGATGGAAATTAACCAAAGAGATTTTTTTTTTTTTATTTGCCAAAAGGCAGATAGCTAGTAACTTTGTATTCAAATAAGGATGTAGGTCTTAGGACTCTAAATCCAAAGTTAAAAAACATATATATCCAAAGTTGTTTTTCTTTCTGCTGCCCTGATAAGAAATTGAATCTACAGGGGTAGAAATTCAAACATAGCCAGGTACCAAGGGATGATAAGCTTTGGATTTGAGACTTGTAAAGGTATCATCTTCTTATACAGTTCAGTGAGGTTCTTTTTCTAATTTGTATCGAATGTGGATGCTTTGACAATGAATGACGATTCTTGATGGTTTGGTGAAGTTAACAAAATTCTTGTCTTATAGTTTGTTTTGATTGTTTGCCTTTATTAATAACCAGTCACCTCGCCCCAGAGAAAATCCTTTTTAGGAAGGACCTTCAGGAAAGTATAGCTGCTCTTACGGTTTACATTAGACTAAATGAGATGATCAGCTTAGGTCAATGGCCACAGGTGTGTGTCATTCTTAAGGCATCATATTGTTAGAGTTTCTCTTGCTGTTAAACATAGTAGTAGTCAGTGGACAGAATGAAACACTTGAAAATCCCTGTAGAAGCCAGTGGAGGGATTGGTGAGTTTGGGACTAATTCCTTTGGACTAAGGAATGAGGATGGTGGTGGTGCCTTTTCTGGTTCTTTTTGATGCAGGATGGGGCAAATCTCCCTTAGTGGGGACTTAAGCCCTACACCTGTCTAGAGAGAGAGGGTCCTTCACTCCATGAAGGAAAGGATTCAAGTGAGAGCCAGAATTAGAGACAAAAGGAAAGTTTTTTAGAGAAGAAATAACACTCCACAGACAGACATGGTTTTCTCTCAAAACCAGAGAATGAGAGCCTAGGTATGTGAGGAATTGAGTTTAAATCTGTTTTCCTTTCTGGGTATGGCTACTCAGAGTTAAAGGTATGGGGAAGTAGTTGTTAGCAATCTCAGTGAGAATCTTCCTGTAGGTTCCTTGTGGTCTGGCCGTTTGCAGATTAGCCAGGTTCCCGTGTCTAGCAGCACGTAGCAGGATCTGAATACAACCTGGTTTAATATTTAATCAATTAATGTAGTTCTCATGCCTTTTTCCTGTATTTTTTTAGCATCTTGTTGCTTTGCTTATTATTTTTAAAGAATTTATTTTGAGTACTTTTAGTTTCACAACAAAATTTAGAGGAAGGTACAGAGATTTTCCATATACTTCCTGCCTCCATACATACTTAGCCTCACCCATTATCAATATCACTCACCAGAATAGTAAATTTGTTACCAAGGATGAACCTACAATGTTACAATCACCCAACATCCATAGTTTACTTGAAGTTGGTGTTGGACATTCTGTGGATTTTGGCACATGTATAATGACATATATCCATCATTATAATATCATACAGAGTATTTTCACTGCCCTAAGTAATCCTCTGTGCTCTGCCTGCCACCCCCGCCCCCCATCCCTGGCAACACTTGATGAATGTAAATTGGTACCCCACCCCTACTCCTGCCCATTTCCTTTTACTCTCGATTTAAGTCAAGGTGTAGTAAGATTTCAGTCAGTATGCAGTTTCTACATTGGCCTTATATATGAAATTTGAGATTTCTTAATAAATATGCCAAAGTGAATTTAGCTTTTCATATATGTCAAAGCAGTTAGGTCTTAATCTTTTTTTCTTATAAATCAGACCCAACCACAATTTCTTTATCTCACTAACACCAAAAACAATTTTATAGTTATTAGATTCTACTGCAAGTCAGTCTACTGGCTGAAATATTTTACAGTGTTTTTGCTCTCGTTACACTCATTTGATCCTCATAATAGTCTGTCATGATATATATTATTCTGATTTTACAGAAGAAGTAGGTGACATTGGCTTATCTAAGGCTCTGGAAGCTTCTAAGTTGAGGATCTGGCTTTTAACTTTGTATTATTTACACTGTATAATGAAGATGTTAAGTTCTTTGGACATTTTGTCCTAAATGTCAGCAAAAACCATTTTAGAGAAAGCAAATTTTCCAACAGTATGTAAAAACTATCATTTCTACCAGGCTATCATTAAAGTATTTTTGGTCCCTTGTGTTGTGTTGGATAGCAGACTCATTGTAAGCCTGAATAAGATTATGCTCCTTACGTTGTTCCCCAAGTAAAAATAAAGATTTTGAATTTTTAAAAGCAAATATTAGAAGAATCTTATACTTTGTACTAGAAGAAACTATGATAGAATGTTATTCCACTTGCCCTGAGGAAGGTCTTTCTAAATATGATACAAAATGAAGAAGTCAGAAAGGAGATGTTTGATTGATATAACTACACAAAAATAACCACTGTAGGCAAAGTCAAGACAAATAATAAAGTACAAAAAGTGTTGCTGTTCAAGTGGCATTGGCTAATTTTCCTTATCTAGAAGGAGCTTTAACAAATCAAGAAGAATGTTAACTCAGTGGGAATAAAGGAAATTCATGTACCTTTCATGTCAAAGGAAATGCAAGTTACAAACATGAAAAGTACTCAATTTTATTCATAAGTATATAATATATAAAATTTTACCTATTAGATTGGCAAAGTTAAAAAGTTTCAACACTCATTGTGTTGGAAAAGGTGTTTAGAAATGGCACTTTCATTTATTGCTGGTGGAACTTTTAATCCATATAGGCAGCTTCATGAAGGAAGGGCAATTTGGTGTTCTGTCAGAATTACAAACATATATAGCAGTTGATTCCAGCAGTTTAATCAATGGCTATACTTGGAGGCATGCAAAACAATATATATGCAAGATCATTCCTTATAGCATTATTTTAATAGTCTCTGGAAATTTAAAATCTCAATATCTGTATTTTGGTCCTCTTTGTTCTTAGTATTAATTTGTCTTTTCTTTTTTTCTTAACCAGTTTTACTAGAGGTTGATTTATTGGTCATTCCATAGTTCTACATAAAAAAACCGTCAACCAGAGTTGTTGGTTTTAATCAGTAGAACTCTACTCTGGTAAATTTAAGCAGAAAAGGAATTTATTGAGAAAGAATATTGGGCAAACCAGAATAATCAGCCAGATAGCTAGAAAGTTTGACTTGGAAATAGCACTTAGAATCCAAGAGCAAAGTTTGTATAATATGACTCCTTTGAAATTTTTTGAAATGTCTTTGTAACCTGTTCTATTTTTAATTGTTCTTTATTTGCTTTAAGGAATATATATTCTATTCATTGGGTACGTACCTATATATAAATATACATGATAAAATTAGTTCATTTTATTGGTCAGTTTTTCTCTGTTTTTTACTCTTGGTCTCCCTGATCTGTTTTTAATTTTGGATTTATTAATTTCTCCTTATACTAGTTTTCGCTGTGATGTATGTTCATTTAAGTTCATGATTATTATATCTTCTTGATGAGTTGCCTTTTTAATCATTATGTAATTTCTCTATTCTTATTAATGCTTTTCTCTTGGTTTTGCCATGTACCAGTTCTGTGGCCTTGAGCAAGGCATTACTCTCTCATTTTCCTTATTGTAAAATGTGTATAATAAACTTTCTGTGAAGTTTCACTGAGAAAATATATATGATATGAAGTATCCTAGATTCAACATAAATATATTGAAAGTACTTTTTTGCCTTATGGGTTTCGCTTTTCCTTCTCTCCTTCCCCTTCTCTTTTAAAACATCTAATTTTAATACGATTTACTTATAGTTGGAAATGTGCTTAAAGGATATGATCAAAATAGTCATCAGGACTTTTTTTTAAGTGAGTGAAGGAGATGGAATGTTTTATTTCCCAAACCTAGGGCCTAACAATTCTCTAGTACTTGGTGGACTTTTAAGTTACTCTTCCCTGCATCTGCATTAGATAGTGTTACTGAGTATCTTTCACATTTCTCAGAGCCTTTCTAAAATAGTTGGGACAATTGAAGTCAACTTTTTTGAGGAGCCTACTTTTCTACAACAAATATTTATCAACCTCAAGGGGATGTAGAGTTATTAATAAATCAAAATACTGTTTCACTCAATATACACAGGGGTATACAGAAGTGTCACATGCACATTTTAGGAGGTAGAAGTGTGTACTTTCCCCCTCCTTTTTGATAGCATGTAGGACTTATCTTTTATCCCTGTTCTTCACTTGGATTTTTATCATGTTTATATAACCAACATGTCTTGTTTGCCTCCTGTGGGCCTAGATATCTTAGATTTAAAAATATATAAAGAGAGGGGGAAAAAACAGATTTTCAGCTGAGAAAACAGCATAAAAGACTTAAAAATATGACATATTTTTATTGTAACTAAGTAGTCAAGGGCTGAGAGATACAGTGCCTTAGAAAGGTAAAGTTATGCTCAGTCTCTGGAGAACCTAGAATGACATGTTGAAGAGCTCTGACTTTATTCTGCAGGAATATCAAAACCACTAAAGCCTTTGAGAATAAAAAAAATTAGGTTATATACTGAAAATATTTACAGGTTGTAGATGGGAAAATACTCTGGTGGCACTGTTGAAAAGGAATAGAAAAAATATAGTATTATGAATAAAACCAGCTCATTTAAAATGTTATTTTGTAACACTAAACTAAGCTTTAAAGTTTTTCCTTGAGGTCTTTTAATATGTTGCTTTATCAATGAGGCCCTTCCAGACCACTCTACATAAAATAATCTCTTTCTTTCATCCTACATATCTTTTCCTCCAAGGCACTTAGTATTCCATCAGTTATATTATATACACACATTTGTTTATTGTATACTCCCTGAGGACTTTGTTTGATCAGTGCTTCTCCCCAGTGCTTAGAACTGTCCCTGGTTTATACCCTTTAATAAATATTTGTTGAATGAATTTTTTCAAATTAAGATGACCACAACTTTTAATGTACTTTATAATGTGGGACAAGCAGTAGGACAAGATATTGGTTCCTTCCTAGACAGTCCTATTAAAAAGTGTCGTCTTCTCCCTTTCTTCCAGAGTTTATATTCAGAACACCAATCAAATTAAGTAAGCCTGGGGAACTTCGTGAGGAATATGAAAGCCTGAGAAAGGTATGGTATACATATGATCATGCCATTCATTTTCTTAAAGTAAACTGAAATAACATTAGAGAATGCTCAGTGGGGAATTCTGATTTACCTAGGGCTTTTTAAATTTTACAATACAGAGCCTGTCTTTCTCCACACTACCTTTTACTGGCATAGTTAGATTCTGTAGCTATAATGGAAGTAGAGTAAACCTTAACTAAGAACCCCTTTTAAGCTGTCCTTTCAAAGATGAAAATGTAGCTCATAGTGCCTATCATGCACCTGCTGCAATAACTGGCCACCAAGAGAGGTATTCTTGGCATTTAGATATTTGTTAAAAGCCAGCATTTAAGCTTTAATAATAGCTTATATTATTTTTCCTTATCTTGCAAGGTTCTTCTAATTACACGTAACTGGTATTATCTTTTATTGCTTTCACTCTGTTAAGTACACCAGAAGAACTGTAACTTAGTAAGGGAGTAGTGGAATAATTTCCTAGAGAATATTCACCATGAGGAAAGTATTTAGCTATGTCCACATTATCTTATTTTTGGCATTTTCAAGCTAATTGTCTGGGAATCACCTGGACAATTAAGACTTCAAAAAGGCTGGTAATAAGAAGTTAGGTTACGTGGTTTCTATCATCCTTTCCAGCTCTCTTCCTGCAGCACTATCCCTTACCCATTTTCATAAACATTAGATCATTATTCTACATGTGGACATTTAATATTTTATAAAGGTTAGATAATCCACTTAATCTGAATCAGACATCTTCATAAAACAGAGATGAGACAATAACATTGTTATTTTATTAACATTATTGTTATTGTTATTCAGTATTTTATACTGAATGAAAAAAATCAGTCTTAACAAGGTCATGTTAAGGAGAAAAGATACTTAATTACTATACATTCTTTGACCCTTTTTAAATGAGGGTGTTAAATGTTGACTTGGGTCCTCATGCTTTTATATTGGTATTGTGAGACTTTTTTTTTTGTTCGTTCATTTTTTGGGTTTAAAAAAATCATTTACAAACCTTTTTTCTACATATTAAGAAATTATTCTCAGAGACCACATCAAAAGAACCACAAATCCGTCTTAAATAAAATTCCAGAATATGCAAATACTTCGTCATGGTATACCTTTTCAGAACTTGGAGAATATAGAAAATTTCAAGCTATCAGCTTGAAGATAGAGAGAAAACATACCAGGCAAAAGGAAAAGCAAATGCAAAGGCCCTGAGATAGAAACAAGTTTGGCTCATTCAAGGTATAGTATGGCTGGAGCTGAGTGTGCAAGTGGTGGATGGATATGGGGATTTGGTAGGGGATAAACTGGGGAGATAGAAAAGCCAGACCAAAGAAAGCCTAATTGGCCTGGCAAGGAGCCTAAATTTAAGTGCGATGGGATGCTAGTAATATGATCTGGCTTTACACTTTTAAAAGGTCTCTGGTTGCTGCGTAGGGAATAAACTGTAATGGGCCTAGGAGTTAGGAATTGTGAATAATAATAGAGACCCCAAAATAATGACTCAAACAAAAGAGGAGTTTTATTTTTCTCAAGTAACAAAAACCAAAGACCAGAGGTAGGCAGTCTAGGACTGATATGGCAGCTCTGTGACATCAGAGATTCAGGCTCTTTTTGTCTTTCTGTTTGACATCTTCCAATCTTCCAAGTGTACCTGTCTCATTGTGGTATAAGTTGGCTGATCCTTCTGTAGAATCACATCTAGACAGAAGGCAAAAGAGCACATGTTATCTGAATTGGGTCCTTTTAAAGAGCTTTCTCTAAAGCCCCACCCGGTGGCTTCACCTTTATTTTATAGTTCAGTATCACAGACTTTCTCTAGCTGCCAGAGAGGCTAGGAAGCGTAGTATTTTAGCTGGGTATATTAACTTCCTAAGTAAAATCAGGGTTCTCTTTTTAAGGAAGGAGAGAATAGATATTGGGTAGACATCTGGCAGTCTCTGCCTCGTGGATCAAGAATGGAAATAAGACCAATTAAGACTCTTTTGGAGTAACCAATGTGTTGGGTTTAACCAGGGTTTAGGTTTTACCAGAAGTAGGGATAGATGTCAGTAGACTTGAAGGTTAGTACAAGGAAGTTGTTATAGTTTTAGACTATGGTTATTTATGGAGCGAATTGAGAACATAAGGTACATGATGGACAGTGAGAGTCGTACAATCAATGGACTGGTAGTTTTGAACGGTGATAAAGAATTGTAAAAGTAGGGCTACTAGCATACAAATAAAGCTGGAAAGCTAGGAAGTGGTGGTCTAAATGTGAGAGAGGCTTAAAAGTGAGAATGGGAGGTGGTTTAGTTATTGGACATGAGAACGTTTAAGGAATGATCATAGGAATAGATAACTGAAGTAGGATGGACAAAAAGATTTAGAAGGAAGTAAAGGAACTGAAAAAGTATACTGATATTGACATCTTCAGGAATGATCCCTGGGGTAGTTGGAGAGAAACAGATGATAAGCTTTTCTGTGCATTAGGGGAATTGACAGAGGTAGGTGACTACCCACAAAGAAGGGCTGTAGGTATTGCAGTCTGATGGTAAATACTTCAAAGAAACTAGGATTTTTGAGGAATATGATCTACTCTGTAATTTGCTTCTTTTTACTAACAATATAATTTTGGGGGGCACGGGGGCTTTCATGTATTTTTTCATTTCGAATGATATTTCATAACATGGATGAGGTATAATTCACTTGGTTAATGGCTATTCCATTATCAAAGGTCATTTAAATTGTTTCCCATTTTGTCTATAGCCATGCCACCCTGAACAAGCCCGATCCTGTCTGATCTTGGAAGCTAAGCAGGGTCAGGCCTGGTTAGTACTTGGGACACCACCTAGGAAGACCAGGTGCTGTAGGCGTAAAAAATAAAAAAATAAGGGATTGTAAACTGACAAGGTCCTTGCAATCTGTGAGGTCAACCAAGGGTTGCCTTGCCTATAAATAAGTAAGTAAGTAAATAAATAAATAAAATAAAGTGAAAAAAAAGAAAGAAAGTTTCCCATTTCCCTCAATTTAAGAGAGAACTGCACTGAACACACATGAACATATGTGAGCAAATACTTCCTTTAGGTTAGATTCCTAGAAGTGAAAGTGCAGGGTCGATGGTATATGCATTCTGTGTTTTGGTGGATATTAACAAATTACTTTTTAAAAAGACTTTTCAACTTACTCTCTCACCAACAGTAAAAGAGAGTCCCTTTTTTTCAAATCCTTGCCAAACCATTATCTTTAATATTTTGCTAATCTGAATAAAATCGTATCTCATTTTAATTTACATTTCCATAATTATGAGAGGAGGAGCATCGTATGGTTATTGGCCAGTCATGTGTTTTCTATGAATTGCTTGTTTATAAACTTTAGAGGTGAAAACCAGTTCCATCTTTTGGATATTTGTGATTTTAACTGCTAATGGCATGCTTTTTTTGTTGCTTTTCTGTGCTTTTCTGAAAAAGAAGTTTTCTGACATTTTATGGGGTTTTAAGGGCAAAGAGCATTAGCATGTGCTCAGTCCTCCATCTTGGTACATTGCTTAAGGAATTATTCATTCTTAAAATATATACATATATATATGCACATGCACATTGTTATATTCTTGTGTGCAATAAATATGTTGAAAAAAACTTTTAGGGAGAAGTTATTTCAATATTGATTTTATATTTCCATTTTCTGTAAGATTTTGTAATTTTTGTCTTTTGAAATAATTTATTCCTCTCTATAAGTTCTATTTATTTGTTGAATTTAGCTTCTTATTTACACCATTATTCTGCATATAGAGTATGTTAGGTGTTTAACTTTGACCAGGTGGTTAAATAATAGTTGTTTTATGTTAGAGCTGGGAAACATATGATCCAGCATGCTCTTGTTTGTCTTGGAATCACTGGACTCTGGAAGGTTGAAAGTAGGGGAAAAAACAGCCTTTGTTTCTAGACTGCCTATCTACCTAGTTTCTGTAGTGGGAAAGATGAACTGCTTTTGATAATTCTGTGGATCATGAGTAGTTTAGGCTTTCTCTGAATTGGTTTACTGACCTATCCATTTTCTTTTTCTCTCCTTCCCCACTGGTTTGTTTTTCTGGGGTATTTTCTCCCCATTGCTGGCTAAATTATTCAAGCAGTAAGCATGCAGTTCTTAGTTTTTAGCCAGGGCACAGAGTAATCAGATATGGTCAATGAGTTGCTGAAGTGAATAATGTCTCTATAAGGCAGACATTAACTTTTGTGAAGGAATTTTTTTAAAGGTAAGTAAACTTTTAGGGCCTAATTATCTTTGAAATTATATATCTTTAAAGTCCCTTTTATTATCTTTCTGCCATGAACTATAAAATATAACATACTTTATTAAAACTTGAACATTTAACTTAAATCTATTTGGCTATACAGTGCATCATGAGCTAAATGTTGAACTGGCCTTACTGCTACCATCCCCGCCTTTTTAAATTTACTTATTTTAAAAGAACCTTGTATTTACCTGGTAAGTTTAAAATATGTTCTGTCACACTGCAGAAGCAGCAGGTTATTTGTTTGTTTTAAATTTTCCTATTAGATTGTAAAATCTTTCAAGATGGATCTGTTTGTTTAGTCTCTAACTCTCCATTGCACCTAATATAGTATCTTGCAGAGGTATTCATTAGATGCTGATTGAATCATTGATCATATAGTTTCAAAGCCCCTTCTTTTAAGAGAAATGTCTTGTGTAAGGATGTACAGCTGGCTCATGATAGAACTAGATGTATTTTAAGATTTCTAAAGTTCTTTTTGCTACAACATATTTTTTTTTTCTTCCTCTGAAATGTTATTATGTAATCTTTGAGGAAATACTTACTTTTGGCATGTGCTGACATGCCTCTTTCTGGAACCAGAAAACAGATACAGAATTTCCTAGTATATCTTTAAGAGCAGGTAAGCTGTATGGTATTAAGAGGGAAAAATGGAAAAGAATGAGTTTTAGTTTTGTTGGCATGAGGGGAGAACAGTTATCTTACAGAATGCTTAAAATTTTTA